CCTTCACATTCTCTTAACGTAACTGCTTTGAATCGAGAACCGAATGACAGTAACCTACCGAGCTTTGAATCAAGCTCCTTCACATTCTCTTAACGTAACTGCTTTGAATCGAGAACCGAATGACAGTAACCTACCGAGCTTTGAATCAAGCTCCTTCACATTCTCTTAACGTAACTGCTTTGAATCGAGAACCGAATGACAGTAACCTACCGAGCTTTGAATCAAGCTCCTTCACATTCTCTTAACGTAACTGCTTTGAATCGAGAACCGAATCACGTGGTAACCTACCGAGCTTTCAATCAAACTCCTTTACATTCTCTTAAGGATACTCTTAACGATAACTCTTGCTCTAATGAAGATTAAACGTTTATTGACGAATGAATTGAATCAATCACACGTTTTATTTATAGAGGAGATTTATCTCTATGCTCAAGCCAAAAAAATTCATGAAATTTCCAGCACCTAATTATGTTACCACGCAAATTTTGCTTTTTTATGTAAAAATGGTATTTTGGATATTTCTCAATTACCACAAAGAGTGAGGAAGCAAAATTTTCGCCACAAGCACAGGTTAAGCACAATATGTACCAAAATAGCGCATCAGGACTTTTCTTTAAGTTTCATATTTACTGAGAAAAATGAAAAAAACTGCTTAAAAATCAAGTTGTTTGTTAAAATTAAAAATTTTAGCGAATAAAGAGGCATAGCTAATAAAATACGGCACTTAATAACAATCCCTGACGCACTTTTTAACAGCAATATGTTACCATTAAAACGAGTGTAAAATTAAATTAATCCGAGTTGTAATCACAGAGAAATATCCATTTATACATCGCCTACTATGTCAGAAATCGAAAGGGAGAAATCAGCGTTTTTCTATTTTTCACAATGATCGACCGCCTGTGTGCAAAATGGGTGAATTAACGTGTGTGAAACATCTACTGTTAGTACTTACTGTGACATATCCATGAATAACTGACACCACTAAATTGGTAATATGTTTCATGCACCTTGAGAAATTGTGAGAAATTACGCGGTTACCACTCTTTCATGCAAAACGCGCGTACGATGTGTACTGCATGCCGTTACTAAGCTATGTGTCAACAAACACGCGCCTAAATGCCAGGTGTGTAACACGGGAAACGGGGCTATTTTCGGTCGCGCGGCAATTTCAACTATCACTGGCAGATGACAGCTGTAGGAGGGTTGATGCTGAATGATTCTGGCGTAGTGAATATCATGAAAATTCTGATTGTATCATGTCTCTGACGTCATCAGTGACGTCAGCTGCTGCTTACTACACGTGTATGCGGGCAATCAAAACGCTCTAAAAGTTCACATGTACCGTTATATGGAGAAATGAGCATGTACACAGGTGGCACATAGTGTTAGCCATCGAATAAAGTTTAAAATGAAAAGTGGATAAAATTTTGCCTAAAACCTTGAGGGTATCTGCTTTGAATCGAGAACCGAATCATGTGGTAACCATAGTCCGCATATGCATGGAAATGTCCTTGAATTTGATACGACTCCTTGTAAACTCCTTGAATTTTAAAATATACACCCATTGACAGTTCTGCACCTATGTTCTGCGCCAGTAGTTTCGGGCCTTAGTTAGTTTCTGGCCAGTAGTTTCTGCCAGTAGTAGCAGAATGCCTCTAGGGGCAGCGCGTCTCCCAAGTCCGAAATAGTAGGTCTCAGGGAGAGATAGTGATCCGCTAGATGGCGCATTATTTGTATAAATAAGTTGTGGATATAAAAATCAGTTAACCCTAACCCTAACCCTAACCCTAATCCTAACCCTAACCCTATCCCTAATTAAAAAAATATATAATACTAATAATTCGGCGCATTTCGGACTTGGGAGACGCGCTGCCCCTAGTCGCAGCTGTAGTTTCGGGTTAGGGTATTATCGCACCCCTGACAGCAGGCTATCCCAGAAACCACCGCACCGATGCATGTATGCATGGCACATCCAAAATATATAATTCCAATACGGCTGAATAGCCGACCTGGTAGGGCGGCTGGCGTTACGACTGAAAATCGTCAGTTCGAATCCCATCTGTTTATTTTTTTATTTTTTTATTTTTATCCATTTAACTATTTTTTCGCAAATATTTACATAATTTATTTACAATTTAATTACATTTATTAGTGTTAATTAAATTTAATTTGGGTTAGCGTTAGGGAGTAGGGCGTAGGCTGCGGTGGTTTCTGGGATAGGACCTGCTGTGAGGGGTGTGATATAACCTCGACCGTAGTTTCGCATCTCCGCGAGAGCCCGGATGTGCGAGTAAACTCCGCCATGTCGTTTATCTCGATGCATTATCTGCCTTGCATACGCAGGTCGCTCACCTTTGTGTCTAAGAACAGTGCACGTAGCAGGGAATAGAGCACCGATAATGGATGACCTGAGTGACATGACACTTGACGATCTGCAGCCGGATATCCACGCGAAGCGCGAAAACACAGCGTAGCGGCAAACTAACTCAACTTCGCTGCCCCCACTCTATCACCTTAGCCAGGTCCCTTTGGGTATAGACGAAAGCCCGGATAATTGCTGAATTGAGCAGTTCTGCCCATTGCAGGAGGGGTTTCACTACGCACGTAGCTGGACATTTCCTACAAATGGTCGTAATTGTTGGTTTGCTGGTCGGGGCGTTTCCTTTTCCTCTAGAAAAGCGAGTTTCCATTTTTTCTGTTTCACGCCGTGAAATTATTCTCGTACATTTGGTGTCCGATAGATGGCGCAACGAGGCCATGTACATAGCATTTTCAAGTCCTTTTTCTACACAAGGCTCGGCTGACTAAGCTAGACTGCTACCCGGTGGACAGTTCCACACGCTGCACTAACTATAAGTTCAGTGTAGCCAAGGATACTTGGCGGAGTGAAGGTCCGTTACCAGTCTAGCTGAAATCGTCACTTGCGCTTCAACTTCCCGTATCCATGTTGATATCGATACCCCGGATCTTCTGATATTTGCGATGATAACGTCATAGTTACAGCATGTATATATAGCAGAGCAGAGTGCATATAGCATAGAGCTATGCATAGAGCATAGAGCATATATAGTTTCGGATTCATACATATCCATCGATATTCCATCCATCCATATATCATGCAATGTACACATGTGACGTTTGTCGGTCGCCGTATGAGACTCACGAAGGACTGGCGTATCACATGCGCACGCACCACAAAGATAGACCGTACGGATGCGACGTGTGTGTGGCGTCATTTAAAACTCGACATACGTTGAAAAAGCACATCCAAACGCACAGAAAAGATCGACCATACCAATGCGATGTGTGTGTGTCGTCATTTAAAACTCGAGATACGTTGAAAATGCACATCCAAACGCACAGAAAAGATCGACCATACCAATGCGATGTGTGTGTGTCGTCATTTAAAACTCGAGATACGTTGAAAATGCACATCCAAACGCACAGAAAAGATCGACCATACCAATGCGATGTGTGTGTGTCGACATTTAAAACTGTGCTTGGACTAAAGAACCATGCACGCAAGCACAGCGACAAGAGGCCGCACAAATGTGACGTGTGTGCAGCGACGTTTAAAACTCGGCAGGGAGTGACAAGCCACATGCACAGACACAGCGACGAGAGACCGTACAAATGCGAAGTGTGCGGTGCAACGTTCAAAATATTGCAGCGACTGATGGACCACATGCTCATACACACCGGAGAGAGACCCTACAAGTGTAAAGTGTGTCCGTGGGCTTTCCGCAGCATGTCAAATTTAAACAAGCACACACGCATACACACAGGTGAGAGACCCTACGGCTGCACAGTGTGTCCAGCACGGTTTAAGATCAACGCGCATCTCAAGTCACATCTGCGCATACACACGGGAGAGAAACCGTACACCTGCCACTTGTGCGAGTATCGCAGTGTGACACGTTCCGACCTGAAGAAGCATCTCATGGTTCACACCGGCGAGAAACCGTTTGCGTGTGATACTTGTGCAGCGACGTTCGCTCGCAAGCATCTTCTTCTTTCACACGAGCAAGTGCACACTGGGAAGAGACGGCACCAGTGCGACGTGTGTAAACTGCGCATTGCGTCTGTGTCGGACCTGCACAAGCACATGCGCACTCACACCGGTGAGAAACCGTATCGCTGTGACGTTTGCAAGAAGAGCTTCAGCCAGGCCCCTCGACTGTCGGCCCACTTTGCCAAAGCTCACTCACAGTAAGCAGTCACACGACAAGACTAGACGATCATACGACGAACAGTCAAAAAAGAAGACCAACAGTCACTTGACGAGAAAATGCGGTCACATCATCACATGTATGGCTAACTTGTTGGTGGTTTGGTTAACACACTAAGTTGTCCCACTACGAAGCTGTAATTGCACAACACAACTGATGTCATGACATTGCACTGTGTCATAAGTCTGTAAGCCTGCTAGACAGTTGACCAGTAATGTCATCGTGATTCGCACGGAACGACCATCGCGCCACTCTCAAGAAGACCATGCTTACCAAAGAGCCCGCCCCTAGCCTACTTTCATACACCATGTTTTCCGATGACT